GTTTCTTTTCTTTTTAATAGCAAATTGTTAACATGAGATTTTAATCACAATGTTGAGGTAACAGAATATCGTATTTAGGTTAAAGACCTATAAATTCTGAACTTAATCAAATTTTATGCATTTTATCTAGGTAATATGAATGACTCTTATATTGAAACTTTTGCTGTTCTGATTATTTACTTTTCTTTCTGTGATAACAGATCACTTGGGGGTCATTTGATGTTGGATTCTATTGTCAGATACACTTCTCCCTAAATCCTGTGTAAAGAGAAACTCAAACTATTTGGTTATTTAAAAAAACATTTAGGGGTATTGAACCTTTGTCAAAAAGTCATCTATTAACAGTCAAATTCTGCGAGTAATGAGAGCCTCAAGCAGCAACATGAATGAATGAATCTCACAAACATAATATTGAATGAAAGAAATGAGACAAAAGAGTACAGTATACTGTAATGATTCCATTTATAAAGTTAAAAATTGGCAAAGTCAATCTATGTTGTTAGAAGCTGGGTGGTGTTTTCCTTTGAGGTGGAAAGGCAAGGCAGTTATTGAGAGGAGGTGTGGGGGCATCTTCTGGGGTGCTTGTAATACTGTAATTCTTGACCTGGGTATGGTTACATATCTATGTTCACTTAGTGATTATGTCTTGAGCTGTATAAGGATTATTTGTGCGCTTTTCTGCATGTGTATTATTCCTCAGAATTTACTTTAAATTCTATACACTTTTTAAACATTAATTTTTGATTACATGGAAAATACACAAATACATTCCTCCTGTTTAAAAAAATCTAGAATATTTTAGTTAAGCCTGTGTTGATCCCTTTTGAATCTTGTATTCTCCTAAGAGGGTATCAGTTTATCTTTTTTATATATATTTACATAACTAAGGACATATAGAAAATATATAGTATCACTGTGTGTGTATTTTAACTAAGTTCTGTGCTCTTTTAAAAAGTATCTGGATTAATAGATTTGCATTGCTTCTTTCAGTAATATAGGATATCAGCAATATCTTTCACTAAGAAAACTAATAATCTTCACTAAAATGATGTATCATTATGTAATAGGCCCAATAGACCTAAGTTTCAGTATATATATTATATTGGATATATGTTTACTTTTATATGTTATATATTATATGATTTTATTATAGTGTAGATCTATATTGTTTATACCTAGGAGTGAAATTGCTGAATCATATACTATATGGTAACTCTGTGTTTAACCTTTTAAGGAACTGCCAATCTGCTTTTTAAAACAGCTGCATCACTTTATATTTTCACCAGCAATGCATGAAAGTTCCAATTTCTCCACATGTTCATCAACACTTATTATCTGTCTTTTTTAATATAGTCATCTTAATGAGTAAGAAGTGAAATCTCATTGTGGTTTTGATTTGCATTTAATTGATGATTTTTTTGAAGTTAATGATGGTAAGCTTCTTTTTAAGTACTTATTTGCCATGTATGTATCATCTTTGGAGAAATGTCTATTCAAATCCTTTTCTCTTTTTAAAATTAGGTTATTTGTCTTTTTATTATTGCAAATAAGAGTTTTTAATATACAATAGATACAAGTTTATTATCAGATATATGATTTGCAGATATTTTCTCCCATTCTTTAAGTTACCTTTTTACTCACTTGATGATGTTGTTTATGGCACAAATGTTTTTTGCTTTGGTGAAGTCCAATTTATCATTTTTCCCCCTATATGTACCTTGATTTTGGTGTCATATCTAAGCAGTCTTTGCTTAACTTAACATCAAAATATTTTTCTCGTTTTCTTCCAGAATTTATAGTTTTAGCTCTTTTACATTTGAATTAATTTTTGTGTATGGTGTGAGGTTAGGATCAGAGTTGTTCTTTTCCTGCACACGAGTATCCAATTGACCCAGCACTATTTGTTAAAAAGATTACCCTTTCCCCATTTAATTGTTTTAGCACATTTTTTGAAAATCAGTTCTGGGCTATCTATTCTGTCCCATTGATCTATATGTCTATCCTTATGCCAATACCACACTATCTTCATTACTGTGGCTTTATTTTTATTTTTTTAAATATATCTTTATTGATTTCAGAGAGAGGAAAGGAGAGAGATAGACAGACAGAAACATCAATGATGAGAGAGTCATTGGGGATCATTACTGTGGCTTTAAAATAAGTTTTGAAATCAGGTAGTAGAAGCCTGCCACCTTTGCTTTTCTTTTTTAAAATTGTTTACGCTATTCTGGTTCCTTTGTATTACCATTTAAATTTTACAATCAAACTTGTCAATTTCTAAAAAAGGAAAAAGCCTTCTGGGATTTTGAGGTAACATTGAATATATAGATCAATTTTGGGAGAACTGTCATCTTAACAATGAGTGTTCAATCTGTGAGCATGGTATCTTTATCTAGATTTTCTTTGATTCCTCTCAACAATGTTTTGTAATTTTCAGTATATAGGTCTTGCATTACTTTCATTATATTTATTCAGATTTTCTGATGCTCTTGTGAATAAATTTGTTTTTCTAATTTCATTCTCAGGTTGTTCACTGATAATCAATATATAAATATATTGATTTCTGTATGTAGATCTTATATCTTATGACTTTTCAAGACTTAATTTAAAAAAAATATATATTTTTATTGATTTCAGAGAGAGAAGGGAGAGGGAGAGAGAGAAACATCAAAGATGAGAGTCATTGATCAGCTGCCTCCTGCACGTTCCCTGCTGGGGATCAAGCCCCAAACCCAGGCCTGTACCCTGTCAGGGAATCGAATGGTGATCTCCTGGATCATACATAGGTCAATGCTCAACTGTTGAGCCATGCTGGTAGGGCTAGACTTAATTTTTTAAAACCCCAGTTTCTTCAGGTGTAAAATGGGGATATCTAACTGGTAAGGTTTGTGTGGAATAATATACATAAAATCTCATCAGAAGTCTAGAAATGAAGCCCCCTCAAAAAAAAATTCACCTAAAGAGTGCTCTTTCTCTCTCTGGAGCATGCCAGGCATGTTTCCTTTGCCCTTCAAACTCTTACGCTCTAAGGGCTCTTCTTGTGCCTCTGTAACTTATTTCCTGAGCCCACTCAGCCCAGCTGGCTCACTTCTTCCATGGCTCATTTCTTCTACCTTTGTGACTTTTGCTTGTATTTGAAAAAAGAAATTCAACCACCTAAAATATAGGGCCATATTATTTAGAGGAAAGTGAGATGGCCATAATACACTTGGATAGAAGCAGGAAACAGTCACCAATAGTATTGTATCTGAATTTGCACGATCAAGGGGGTTTTGCTGCATTTTTGTTAGTGTAGTGAATAGATGACTGTTGATATTTTCTACCATTTGCATGTACTATTTTTATAATCAAGAAAACAACAGGTGTCATCTCTTTTTTAAAAAAATATATCTTTATTGATTGCAGAGAGAGGAAGGGAAAGTAGAGAGAGAGATGGAAACATCAATGATGAGAGATTCATCAATCAGCTGCCTCCTGCACGCCCCCAACTGGGGATGGAGCCTGTAACCTGGCATGTGCCCTGACGGGGAATCGAACTGCTATCTGCTGGATCCTAGGTCAATGCTCAACCACCAAGCCACGCCTGGCCGGGCAGGTGTCATTTCTTAAAAAAGTAAAAATTAGTAATCCAAAAGAAAAAAAGGTAGGGGCATACTAGGTAGAGAGAACATTTAAAAGTATAGAACTAATAAATCGTGAGGAATAAAGAAATAAAATGGAGTCACTATGGTCACGCTGCTAAATTACTAAAATCAGGTAGGCTAAGGAATGAGGAAACGATTCTCTTCTTGCCTTACCTAGCCTGAGGACTTAGACTTTTAAACTTTTCAGCTGAGTGTCAATGCCTGGCTATACAGTAATTCCATAGATAACCAACTGAACAACTCAGCAAAGAATGTTCCCTTACCCAGACCACTAGATACTTGGAAGATTACCATCTTGGACCAACCCATCGGCTAAGAATGCAGGACTTAGTCTTCTCTAGAATGTTCTTTTTTACTCCAAGAACGCTCAGGTTTTCTTTCTCCTTTGGAACACTCTGGATATTAACTAGCTGTGTTTTCAATTTGCAAGCCCTAAGACCCTTAGGTAAATCTTTGTCCTTTATTTCTAGCCAAAGTCCTGACCCTGTGAGTTCGGTTGACAATCGCTACCGCTGAATGGATGCTTCCTCTATGCACATAATTTTATCCTTACGACAGACAGAAATAGAGATTATCCCCATGCACAGGTAAGCCCAAATCAGAAAACCCTTGAGTGGCAGGGCCAGACTTGAAACTGGGGTCGTCTGATTTCAAAGCTGAGGCTCTGGACTGAAATAGGAGCGAATACTGAAGAGGCGCGATACAACGTGGTGCTGCCGGAAGGCGGTGGTGCGCGACGAGGCTGGACACGAGGCACCCACTCGCGCTTGACTAAGGACCACTTGGGCAAAGAAGGATTAGGCTGGAACCGGAGGTATCTCTATAAACGCACGATTTCCAATACGTGTGTGTATCCATTCCGGCTCTGTCCACTGAAAAGGCCTAGAAGCAAGGGCACACGAGGCCATGTTCAACGGTGCGACCCGGGAGGACCTCCAGGTTTGCGCCCCCTCACGGCCGGCCACCCCACAGTCCAGGGCCATCTCGCGATAAGCCCGCTGCGCCGCCTGAGCTTTCTGCAGAAGGGTAAGCGGCGCCCTACGGCGTCCTAGCAGAAGGAGGCGACGGCCACCGGGTCCGCGGGAGTCAACGCCCTGTGAAACGCCGGAAACCAGACGCTGAGCGTCGCTCGGGTGAGCGGTGACGTAGAGGGAGGAGCGGGAGCCGGAGCTGGGGGCGGGGCGTCGGCGCTCCTCCGCTTCTTATTGGGCCTGGCCGCTGTTAGTCTCGGCCTTCCGTCCCCACCATTTCCGCGCGGGCCGTCAGTTAATTGACGGGCGGGGCGGGGCTGGGCAGGGCGGAGTAGTGACTTCCGGTACGGGGAAGAGAGTTGAGCCCTAGGAGGGGCAGCGTAGTGGGAGGAGGAGGAAGAGGAAAGGGCCGGGCGGCGGCTGCTGTAGGTGGAGGCTGTAGGTTGTTCGGGGCGGCGGCGGCTCTCTTCCGAGCGGACGATGGACAGCCAGGGCAGGAAGGTCGTGGTGTGCGACAACGGCACCGGGGTAAGCTCGGGACGGGGAGGCCGCGGTGGCCACGGGTCCGGGCGCGGAGATGCGGGGGACGCGCCGGCCCTCGGCGCCCGGCGCTGCATCCCTGGGCCTAAGGGCCGTCGGGGCCTAGGGGCGCGGGGCAGCCCTTTCTGCCTCACGGGCGTGGGGAGCAAGGGCCTCGGGCTCCCAGAGCCTGCCGCCCCCTCAGCCCTCCGGGTCGGGG